ATAGTCTGGTAGACCATTATCTAAGGATCTGAGGAATCCTCTGCCTCCATCTTCAAGGAGAGCAGTGTATAGTAATTTCCCCATAGGTGATAAGTGAGAGAGACGAGGCGAGAATTTAAAATGTCGCCCTATGAAGGTATTTAGGCACGCACGCACGCACGCACACAGTAGGCCTATGATACGAAGTTCACACTGTCTCCATGATTTTGTTCATTCTCAGCCAACAAAAGCAAACACGCAGTTGAATACGCCGGCCAGTGGGGCGTAACCCCACAGCACTGGCTGCACTGGTGTGGGCGACAGAAGCGCCATTACTACGCAGCGGCGAAAAAATTCATTTCGCTTAATTAACTGGAAGTTTCATCTGTAGGCTTTGGCTCCTGTTATTAGACAACCAAACGCACACAGCGTGCTGTTTGTGTGGCCTATCCGGCAAATGAAATTGCTTTCAAAATGGTTGCGTGGTTTATTCAAACAGTTTCAAATCCGTGTAAGCGTCTAATTGCAGTAAAAATGGAACAGAAGAAGTGGAATAACTGTGTGCTGCTTTCGAAGAAACTGATAGTTATATAGGTGGTTAAGACGTTTATTGTTCTTATTGAGTGCGAAGGTTAAAATATCGTGTTTAAAGACGCCTGTCTCAAACCAGATTAATTCACACGTCATATCATGTTACTCTGAGATTCGTTTCAATATTATCCTCTGATCTCGCAGCCTGTTTCTTTCTCTTTGCTTTCTTAGTATGTTTCATCCCTTGCAGATGGTCGCAATGCGGTCGTTCCCTCGAAAAGGTGTTGAACTTGTACCGGTCTGCACGGCGTCACATCCCAGAAAATTGTTCTCGTCGCATCTCCGCTACACAGCCCAACCGGTTAATGTTGTTAGGGAAACAGTCGCTGTTTACTGTAAGAACCATATGGAACGCACAGATACACTCTGTGGGCAGAATGCAGAGTTTCAGTATGTTCAGTCCGTACCTCACAGGAAACATTACGTCTCCGCTACAAAGCCCAACCGGTTAGTGCTGTTTAGGGAAACAGTCGCTGTTTAGTGTGAGAACCGTACGGAACACACAGATACACTCTGTGGGCAGAATGCATTGTTTTAGTATGTTCAGTCCGTACCTCACAGGAAACATTACGTCTCCGCTACAGAGCCCAACCGGTTAATGCTGTTTAGGGAAACAGCCGCTGTTTACTGTGAGAACCACACGAAACACACAGACACACTGTGGGCAGAATGCAGAGTTTCAGTATGTTCAGTCCGTACCTCACAGGAAACATTACGTCTCCGCTACAAAGCCCAACCGGTTAATGCTGTTTAGGGAAACAGTCGCTGTTTACTGTGAGAACCATACGGAACACACAGATACACTCTGTGGGCAGAATGCAGAGTTTTAGTATGTTCAGTCCGTACCTCACAGGAAACATTACGTCTCCGCTACAAAGCCCAACCGGTTAATGCTGTTTAGGGAAACAGCCGCTGTTTACTGTGAGAACCATACGGAACACACAGATACATTCTGTGGGCAGAATGCAGAGTTTTAGTATGTTCAGTCCGTACCTCACAGGAAACATTACGTCTCCGCTACAGAGCCCAACCGGTTAATGCTGTTTAGGGAAACAGTCGCTGTTTACTGTGAGACCCACACGGAACACACACATATACTCTGTGGGCAGAGCAAGTAAGGAGTTGTGAACGCTTAAGCGAGTAGTACGTATAGTTACCATTGTGTTCTAAAGGGTTAATGGCTGAAATTAGTGCAGAATGGCAAAATATGTACGTGTATGAAGCAATTACGCGGACAGCAGTGTGCTTCCTGTGTAAGTGAGGAAGGGAGAGAACGGCTGTTGCAAGACCACGGACCTTCCTTACTTTCTTCTGGGGAAGCGCTGCTGTGTGTGTCTTTTCTGAGCTTCTGGGTTCCCCCTCCGCCCCCCAGGAGCGAGACGGCACAGTATTTCTCGTAAATTCATCACGGAGTGTCGTGGCGTGCCGCAGCTCGCACACCGACCGACTGAGCCAGTGAGCAATTGCCCGCTTGGGGAAGCAATAGCTGACTTTAGCCAATTTGTTCTTCGGGCTTTAATATGCGGCGTGGTGGCGTGTAATTATTCCTCCTCACTACACTTCAGCCTTGAGGGACACCAACCCGGGGACCGTTACCCATGCGTAGGTTGTGAGGTCTTACAGGCTGTAACTTCGTGTGCCGACGTTTCAGAGGACATATTACCCCGATCTTCAGGGTCGAAGAGTAAGCCAAGCAAGCTGAGTCTGTTGCCTGCTTCAGCTGGTTTCGCATATGGCTTAATTTGGAACCCTGAAGATAGAGGCTGTATGTTCTTCTGAAACGTCGGACTTCCTCCGAACTATACGGCACTACGTGCAACTCAGAAGACGTACTTTTGGGGGCCACTTATTTTTATTAAGAGAGTGGGAGGCCACAAAGTGGGCCCGAGTAGTACAAAATTGCGCAACATTTTGGTGGAGAAAAGAACTCCTGGAAAGAGTCAGCTTAGAAGATCAGGAACGAGATGAGATGGTGACGTTAAGACATTTCCTCAATTGTGTTACAAATAAAAAGAATTTGTAGGTTCAGAATTTATAATCTTACAAAGACTAAACGTTCTCCAGCGTTCATACCAAGTTTCATGAAAATCGGTCAGCAGACCCGAAAGTTTAAATGGAGGACACGCAGACATTGCGGGGCTCTCGTGAAACAGTTGAGAGAAGTTAAGGGAACCGATATTGAAGAATAAAGCAGTAAAACGTACGGTCGTGTGGGGGGAATGTGCGAAATTTGGTAAAGTTTCCTTAATGGCTGGTATAAAAGTGGGGCGGGGTGGGGCGGGGCGGGACCGGCATTGACCTGAAGGCCTCAGCGCTCTTATCTCGTTACCGCAGAACGTGGTCCACATATAAAAGTTTTGTAACGGAGCCAGATTCGCATGCTGAGAGGCGCCGCGTCGCGCAGTCTGTACGTGACGCTGTGAGGCACTAATTAAAACATTAGCCGCGCAATTGCGCCCTGTTTTGCAGACATAACTGCCACAAATGCAGTTTCCGACACCACTCTTCTAGTGCCGTTCCTTCTCGTCCTAAAAATCGACCGAGTGCTCCAAGCCCGTATCCAAGTTTGCAAATTAAGCTGGTGTTCACATCCGTACATTTCCATTTTTGCTTTGCCCAGTGCAACCCCCCANCCCCCCCCCCCCCCCCCCCCAAAAAAAATTCATTTAAGCAGTAATATCACAGGAAACACATGCATGTCTGCTGTTTAGGGAAATAATCACTGCTTATTGTGAGAATCATACAAAATAAGTAATGGAAATTGATTTAACGAAATAAACTAGGTGGTACATATGTATACCACTGTGCTTTAACCGTTCAAAGAGCATGTGTGAGTTGGTTCAGGGCACCTGTTTTCTCGCAATGTCTTGACGTTAGTTTGAAGTATCCAGCCCAGTTTTGTTTCTCCATTTTGAAGTGATCCTATGCAGCACGTGTTTACGTTCTCCTTTGTGTCTGAAGTCTGAGCTACTCTCTGATTTGTTCTTGCGTGGCGTAAGGTAAATATGAAATCCTGTGTGTGGACCGCTCAGAGAAGGAAGTACAGGATAGATAATGTTCAGTTGGTAAGGAGCGGTCGTGTTCAGACAATGCAATTATGGAACTATTAAGTGCATGTGACCGTCGTTAGGGAATTGAGAAAATGGAATTAGTAGTTGAGAAACGCAGGGCAGGGTCGCTGTCCCCTTTGTTGGTAGTCCACTTCACTTCCGTTGCAGTATACAGACGGCATGTCTCCTGAACTCTAATTCAATCAAACAGTTTCTCGAAACTGGACCCCGTGATGGAACGGGTTCAGTTTCTGTCCTCTTCTCCTTCTAGTCACCTTTCCACCATTGCTCTATACACATTTATCATCGTCGCCCCCGAAATGTGTGATAACCCAAATCACGCAGCACATTATCACAACCTCGGTATTTAAGCTGGGGCCTTTATACCTGACTCGGCGTTCGCTCTTTACCAGTTACGTTCTAGAGATGGTTCAGTATATAACAGGGGTACGCGGTAACGTAGTTGGGTGATGCACTATGCTACAAGCCGGAAGGTCGCGAGTTCGAGTCCCAGTGAGGTCATTGAATTTTTCAGTTGACCTAATCCTTCCAGCCGCACTTTGGCCTTGGGGTCGACTCAGCCTCTAACAGAAATGAGTACCAGGAGTCTTTCTGGGAGTACATGGCGGTCGGCGCGTAAGGCTGACAACCCAATGCCATCTGTGAGCCGATTGTCTAGAGAAACTGTGGGAGCCTCGACGTCTCACAGCCCTATGGGCCTCCACGGCCTGTTACAAGGATAGCTTTACCTTTACAGTATATGGCAGTGACATGAATTGCCTATTTGCACTGTGACGTTATTGCGATTTTCAGAGGTGGCAGTGTTGCTTGGGCCCTTAATACGTTCATGATAGAAAGCGTTGTTACTTTCTGGTGCATACAAATACTCTGCGTCTGTTTGCTAATAACTTTCGAAGCTTTTAGGTGATTAGCAATTTGCTGAGGCAAGTGATTGAACATAGTCTGTTGAAAACTCTGAGAATTGAAGTGCCGCGCTCCCATTAAACAAAGAGACGGAAGCCCGTAGCCGCTCTGCGCAGAGAGGCCTGCGTCAGAAGGGACGGTTTGTGTGCTGGAGCACCTGTGCATTCAGAACTTCTGCATTTGCCGACGCGGGGTTTCCTGCCATTCTCACTATAAACAGCGATTACATATGTAAACGGCATTAAAAGATTGGTTTTTGTAATGAAGACAGCATATTTTCTGTTAGGTAGTAATATTTAGGCCTGCATGCTCTCATACAGCCCTCCCAATGCTGCCTTTCCGAGCATATGCATTATCTCTACAAGAAGGACGAGCGGGCACTGCCTGGGAACCTTGCTCTTGGTGGCAGACAGCAGTGCTGATGCTTAGTGATGCTTACTGATGCTTGTGTTGCAGGAAGAACATGAGCCACCTGGACCTCTTCCACATCAGCATCTCCCAGTACGAGCTGTACCGAGAGGGCGATACTTTGGTGGATCAGTTGCTGCACGACATGGCGACCGCGCGCATCGTTCACATCAGTGAGTACAAATCCTGCTTCGTGGTCTAAGGCAGTACCGGTGTCTTCTGGGATATAGCTGGCTCGACAGCTGCCGTCTGCATGTTTCGGCCCACCTGGCTGCCATCATCAGGTGTACAGACTGCCGCACTTTGCAGTTTAAACGTGTTGGGGGGGGGTCGTTATACAGTTACGAGAAACAGAGCAGAGAGTCCTGCTCCGGCCACATACCCTCTTACTGCATGTAGAACACGGTAATGAACCTTGGCGTTCCGTAACATGCTGGGAAGTTCTTAAGTAGCTGCATAACCAGCAGCTTCTCAAGCGAGTGAAGGTCATTGCGGATTTGTGTGTTTCTGGGTTCGTGGTTCAACCGAAGGTTTCGTGTTTGCCCTTTCGTCTTCACGGTTTTTCTCCGCGTCTGGCCGACAGGTGGAGTGACTCCTCCGGGGTTCGCACCGATGCACCCGCAAGCCAGTGACCTCTTGTCCGTGTGTTGGGCTCCTAAAGGAGCGCACTGCAGGGGGCCCAGCGGCGGACCCTTTTGAGCTCATAAACATATTTAAGTTGTATTTGAAATTCGGTGACTGTGAAGGCTCTTGGGTATGAAGTCGGGTAGTGCGGTAATAGTTCACGGACGTTTCGGAGGAACGTACAGCCTCAATCTTCACGGACGAAAGGTAAGCGAAGAGGGAAGCAGACCGATCATGGAGCTCTGAGATTTAGTTGAGATTCACGGTTAGATTCAGCTGGCCCTAACATTAATAAACGTCGTTAAACGCGCATTTGACCATAATGCATAGCGTGATAACCCCTTGAAGCATGAAGTTCGTTTAAACTGTATTTAAATATTGTTCCTACCTCACACGGAGCGCGTCTCATTGTAAAGAGGAACCGAGCCATGCTGGCTGCTCGTTGTGAGAATCACTGTGTGGACAGAATGCAGACATTTTTTAAAGTTACCGCAAGTGGTATGTATACTTACCACTGTTCTTTATAGGCGTAACCGTTGAGCTGACCTACCTAAATACCGTTTGTGAAATTGTTTTTATAGGCAGAATCGCTATTCCATTATCGCGGGTCTGTGTTACTTTTCCCAGTGTGTTTTGTGGTACGGATTAGTTTTAAATTGACTTGTCTGCGTCTTGCCTCGAGCTGTGTGCGCGCCGCGCGCCGTGTTGCCGACTGCACGGAAAGCCGTAACGCGGCAACGGCTGCGTGACTGCTTGGGCAAAAGCGGAAATGCTACTATAATCCCGAGACCATTGCTCCCACGTGCGGCAGGCTCTGGTCCTTCAGCTTCATAATCTTCACCTTACAAACTTCGCCATGAATTCCTCCCCTAAAACAAAAAGCAGTATTAAATCCTGAAGGGATGAGACCTAGGCATATATAGGAGGATAATATTAAAATGGAACATCAGTAAGTATGGTGTTAGGGCGCGTACTGGATTCATCTGGCTAAGGAAAGGTAGCAGCGGCATGATTTTGTGGAAAACTTTTTTGTGATGCGTAACACGATTTTGTTTCTACAGACGTAGTCGCTTTCAGGAAACGTTTCGGTCACAAAATAACCATCAGGTGGATACACACACCGAAAAGCTGGAAGGAGCTTCAAGCTGCGGCCGCATGAATTAATGTGAACAAATAGCTTGTATCCGGGCGACCAAAGCACTGCATTCCTATACTGTATGTCAGCGAGGGGTAATGGAGTCTCGTACAGCCATTTATATCAAAGCTGTTGCACCGGATGCAGAAGCCACAGGCGCACTTCCGTTCTTACGGCAAAATAAATGCAACTGTTTCTGGTGCGCCCTCATATCGGCGTGCACCTCTCTCTTTTTGTGTGGAAATGAGGTTCCATATGCAATTCACCAGAATATCCCGGCAGATGTCAGCACTTGCGCTCATGGTCTCGAAGTAAAATCGCTATTGTTTGCAGTTCCTGTCACAGTTCCATGCGATAAGACTGCATCCGGGTGTGTCTCTTGTTCAGGGTTTTGTGATCAGCCGTCACACAAATTAAGCTAAAACCTCTGTACTTTTTTATTTGTATTTGACACTGTACGTTTCGACCTCAGAGCGGTCGTAATCAAGTCCCAAACGTACTGTCACGTGATTGATTGACTATAGATTGGTAATCGGGTTTATTGACCACTTACATGACGTAACTACAAATAACTACGACAGTCTTACTGAGTTACACACTCCAAAGATCACTGTAACTACAGCACACGTGAAGTCTTCTTAGTCTTCACTAGTCGTTGCTTGGTAGCTGCTGCTAGCTTCTCACAACTGCACCTCTCAACTGAACTACTAGCCCTAGTTATGTAGCCCCAGCGCGATCACGCGAATGTGTGACTCTCGACGGGGTCTCGACATGCAGGTCGTAACTACATGCAACTATAGCACACGTAAAGTCTTCTCAGTCTGCTTCACTAGTCGTTTCATGGTAACGGATTTAAACAGTGGAGATTCTTCAGCTTCTCTGCTAACTGCACTGACTAAGGGTTCTCGTCACAGACTCCCTTACCGTTCTCTCTGTTTCAACTAACTCCCAGGCTGACGGCCATTTCACACGAACCTCCAAGTCTTCTCTTCACAGCCCGACTTCCAGCTGACTAAGCTCTAAATCTCGTTTTGCTTATAACCCCTCGGCATGGACCACGTAGAAAAACACAGGTCTTCTGTTGTTGCTCCATTCATCTCCATGGGGACATGTTTGTTTGCGAAGACGTTACCCAGCAACGGCCGCGTATACTTATTAAAAATCTGTTGCCTAGCAGCGAATGCTGTTTCGTTGTCTGTTTCGAGGTCGCTACCCAGCAACGACTCTAGAAATAACGAAATTAATATCTGTTTATAAAAATGCGTAAAATATGAAATATCATTATTATTGAAGAAAGCAGTCTTCTGGGATTTGGCACCGTGTATATGTGGTGTTAACCGACGTTTCGGAGGAACGTATCGCCCCCATCTTCAGGGTTGAAGAAGTATAGGTAAATCTGCAAGCGACAACACCGTGAGACACGGTCAAGCTTTAGTCTGCTTGACCGTGTCTCACGGTGTTGTCGCTTGCAGATTTACCTATACTTCTTCAACCCTGAAGATGGGGGCGATACGTTCCTCCGAAACGTCGGTTAACACCACATATACACGGTGCCAAATCCCAGAAGACTGCTTTCTTCATAGTCACCGCCGTGAAAGCCTCAAATCTTACATCTTTATTATTCCTTTCATTGCAGCGTAGTTTTATATACGTTTATGTTTTGGCACCTGAGGATGACCGCCTTGCGCTCGAAGCATGCAGTATATGGCAGAAATAAAGCGTACTTCATGTGACAAGTTTAGGCGTGGGGATATGTGAAGTGTTGCCCGGCGACTCATTGTGGGCAGTGATGTTTGCTGTTGTGTACGCGCCTGCGGAACATGCCGAAAAGTGTTTGTAGGCAGCTCCGAGCTAACGGCGCGGATCCCAAGTCAAACAAGAAGGAAGCTAATAAAACTTGGGGGTTTATTTTGAAAGCGCCGAACTTTTATGACGTTTTTATGCATGAGCCGGAAGCGCGAAGTGCGATCTGGCGTTTCCAGTCAGAGCCGAGAAATACGCACCTTGGCGGTAATGCTGTTCCGATGTGAGTAATAGAGACAGACTCCTGTGATTTCTGTTAATGCAGACGGCATCGAGAAGGAGGGAACTGACTTTATTGGCTTTTTACTTGATTCCTTACTGTGATTTCTTTTTGAATTAACACAGTCTTAATGCGTTTTGACAGGTGATGGGGTTTATTGTGATGCGAATCTGTACGCTTTTGAATAAGAGCATTCTTTGCCGGTTGGCGAACTGTGCCGGGATAGAGCAGTCGGTATAGCAACTGGCTATGGGCTGGGACCGAGGGGCCGGAGTTCGATTCCCGGTAGGGTCAGGAATTTTCACTTCTCCAAACGACTAGCCCGGATGTGGGGTCAACCCAACCTCCTATACAATGGGTACGGGGGGTAAAGCGGCCGGGGCGTGAAGCTGACCACTCACTTCCAGCTAGTGCTGTGGTCAAGAAAATGTGGATCTATACAGCCACTCCTCCATACGTCTTCATGGCGTAGTGCTTAATTAGTTAAGTACAGGGACAACTTTACCCTGTCTTTATATAAATGAAGCAGATGTCTGCCGTCTAGCTGCAGTTGGCAGTACAGTTGCCACGAAGCATCAGCGCTGGGCCCAGCATCAATAGCTTCGTGTTTTTTTCCCCTTCCCCAGCCAGAAGATGCGGTTTGTGCTGTTTGTGACCGCAGAACTAATACGCAACACCCAAAGAGACTGGAAATCACTCCATGCTCTTTTGCTAGTCTGTGTGCTGTACCCACGGCCATTAAAGCGATATTGGTTTTGGGGTACTTTTCGAAGCGTCGTTCCCAACCGTCGCGTTTCAATCACCCGAGTAAGTACACTTCGATTTCTTAGTTTGAGTGTTAACCTCGGTTATAATTCTAGCTTCTGTGTATTAATTGCGTCACCATGGCAACTAGAGGCACCCACGGACGGGACAGTACCGAACCAAGGCCTCCTAACCGACTCCATGGGACACAGTGACGGTTACTTATCTGGCCCAAGATCTGCCCCTCTTATGGAGGCCGAATATTCATCACCGTGCTCACAAGAGCTTGGTACTGTTTCGTACCCTGAGAGGCTTGAAACCAGACTACGTAGCCCTTATGTCCTGAAGATCCATTTTAATACGAGGAAGAGTTAGTAAGTAGGTCAAAAATGGAAGTAAAACAGCTGTAATGGGTGTATTAAATATGTTTTCCATGTGTGTCACTAGGTAGCAGCACAGTCCAGCTTCATGACAGTCTAAGTAGCAGACGCACATGCGCATGTTCAGAGGCTAGTTTCAGTAGTCAAAATGGCGACCTTGCTTGAGGAGTGGACTTATACTGAAGAGGAGCGTTCTGTGAGGATATTCATAAAGAAATGTTTCCTGTTTCGGTGGGAAGTGTTTGTCGCGTAAAGCTGTTCAGACTC